CAGAACCTTCCTTCAACTCCTGGTCTCCCAGATATCAAATCTGTCCCACATGGTCTCCTGAGGTTGCAGCTAAACAATTACTTATTCAAAGAAATCTTCCTTAAACTCACCCTACTACGTAAGACCTTCTCGCCCTTCACCACAGTCAGACTTAATCTTTCTCGCACTTTTTGCAGAGTATTTTTGGTTTTGGTTTTTGTGTTTTTTTCTTGTCTGTACTCCTGCTACTTCATTATTTCATATCACACACCCACGCGTGCATGCACTTAGATTATGAGCTTCTTGAGCACAGGAATTTGAGTGTATTTCACTTTATGTCTCCTGTGCCCAGAGCAGTTCTGGCATATAATAAGTGTACAGGTATGTTAGATGGGTGGGAAGATTCTTCCAGAAAGTAGTAAGGACTGATAGAGAAACACTACTCCATATTCTGCAAACAGCTACCTTTGTATATTTATTTTACCTAGCAAGACTTCGTTGGGAGGCAGCGTATTATGTTGGTTAAATACATGGGTTCCACAGTCACTTTGCTTGAGCTTGAATCCTACTAGCTGTTGATTTTTCTCATCTGTAAATGGAGTGATGGTAGTATCTATATCTCATATGGCTATTGGGAGAAGTGAACGAAATCATTCATGTAAAGCACTTAACCCAGTGTCTGGCATGTAGTTTTGTTCAATGATTGTTGTCTGCAGTTATTGTTATAGTGAAAGCACTTCGACTTACTTGAATTTAATTTCTATACACTCATTTAAAATAAAAGGTGTGGAAGGAGACAGAACACAAGACTTTGTGACAGTCAGGCCATGCCAGCTGCCATGGTCCTCCATGAGCCTGGGCCCTGCTGTGCGCAGAGGCGGGGTAGCTGGCGGCTCCTCATTCTGCCTCAGGCCCGCCTGCTTCCTGTGGGGAGTCTGTCTCGCTGGGCCAGGTGTTGTGTTAGTGCTTGAAACTACTTCTCCTCAGGCCCGCCTGCTTCCTGTGGGGAGTCCGTCTCGCTGGGCCAGGTGTGGTGTTAGTGCTTGAAACTACTTCTCATAAGACATGGCACTGAGCACAAACTGGCGACCTCGTTGCTCAAGCAAAAAAATAAAAAAAAAGGTCGTCACAACCCCAGAAACACTGGCTGTGTTGGGCTCCTGTCAGGCCTCCACGGAGGCTCCTTTGGCCACGTGAATTTTGCCTTCCACGTTGTCGTTTGGAACCCTCTGTCATAACTGTTGCGTGCAGTAGTGATGTAGTCATGTGGTCTCAGCGTGGTCGACTAGACCGGGTGTGGACATCAGTATTGTGGTTGAGAAGTTTTCAATGTATTGAAGCCCCACTCGGTACCGGAGTCCCTTGTGTGTTGGTAGACTTTCTAATGGTCACCTTGAATTTCCCCTAAATATCGCAGTGATCCGTGTGGTTTTTTGTCTTTGGTTTTGACATCTAAGGGCCTTTGGAATGTGCACAGATAGCGTATTTTGAGGCTGCCAACTGCATTGGTGCCAACAGAGTAAGGGTTCATAAGATTATGACTGATACTCTGCATCCATCGCGTTGTTGGGCAAAAAGTAATTCCAGTTAATGTTTTCACAAGTTTAAAGATGAAGTAGAAGGCCTTAATCTGTGTTTGCTTTTCATTTAGGTAACTACTCCAGACCCCCCACGTATAGTGGGGTGCCCAGTGCAAGCTACAGCGGCCCAGGGCCCGGCATGGGTATCAATGCCAACAGCCAGATGCATGGACAAGGGCCCAGCCAGCCATGTGGTGCTATGCCGCTGGGACGGATGCCATCGGCCGGGATGCAGAGCAGACCATTTCCTGGAAACATGAGCAGCATGACCCCCAGCTCTCCCGTCATGCCTCAGCAGGGAGGGCCAGGAATGGGGCCGCCCATGCCCACTGTGAACCGTAAGGCACAGGAGGCAGCCGCGGCAGTGATGCAGGCCGCTGCAAACTCAGCACAAAGCAGGTACGGCTCCCAGGACCAGTGCCAGGGCAGGCACTCGGGGTATCCGCATGTGAGCGAGCACACGCCAGGCAGAGCTGCCACGCACCTGGGCGGCAGGAGAGAGTAGAACACAGTTCCGCTTGGCGATTCTTTTCGTGCTAAATGTGCTCCATACGGTAAAGGTCAGAGAAACGAATGACAGACCATGTCGTAGGAAAAGTGGAGGAAGGAAACGGAGTGGTGGGCAAGTCCACTGTGGGCAGTTATTTGAAATGTCTGTGAAGAGTCATCTCAACCAGCATCCAGGAAGCCAGATCCAATTGCGTAGGGAAGGGTCTTTGAGGATCCATTTAAAACAGTGACTTTCAAGCAGGAAATTCTAAAGACTAAAAACTATTTAAATTCTATACAATTAAAAAAAGAAAGCTCCTTCTTTTTTTTTTTCACCCCACCATAAAAATCCTTATAAAATAGAAACTGTGTGTGTGTACATACTGTGTATCGTGTGTGTCTGTCTATGTGTATGTGTGAGGTTTATATACTTCATATTCTTATATTTTCTTTTCCTGGTATACTTATTTAACTGTCCAAACCAAAATGTGGCAAATACAGCAAAGATAATATTTTAGAAAGTTTTAAGTTATTAGAGCAAGGCTTTAACCTCAATTACTTGCTTTTTTTTAACCCTAACATTTAATTCTTGAAGTAAATACTCCCACCTGTATAGAAATAGCATAGTTAAGTAAAAATTTATGAGGCGAAGGTGGATATGTCTTTTTAAAAGCCCGTGTAAATATGTTTTAAAACAAAGCACACTGAAAGTATGTATCTTAACAATATCTTCAGAAAAAAAGATAGAAGATCCTGACTTTTGTCAAAGGGAAATAAAAGCGAATGTATGTGTATGTGTGTGTGTTTAAATGTGTCCCTGTTACTCGTCCTCTGAAGCTGCTATTTTGGGAATGTAGGGACCCCCCTCCAGTCTCACTGCTTGCTGAAAATGATCATAAATATCCCTTGAGGAATTAAAATAAAAATCAATCTCTCTCTCTCTCTCATCCACTTTATGATTACTTAAAATCTACCAGATCTCCCACAGTACACCTCTAAACTGACAGACTTTAGGGAATGTTTTCATACACCTGTCTATGAGGACTGGTTTGACTGGTCCAATTAAAGTTCTAATTTAGGTTTAAATGAATTATCCATTGTCGCAGCTCATAAAGCACAAGTTATTTTCTTTCTGTTCAGTAGCAAGTATTTGACTGCATTTGGCAGAAGCCTTTGACAGGAATCTGGGAAGATGCCTGCAGAGGTTAAGGCATAATTCTGTTTGATTAAAAAGTCTTGGCCCTCCTTGTCCCTTTCTGAATCTGTTTATTTAAATTAATGTATAAACACACGTTCGTGCATCTTCATTGTCTATTTCTAATCAGTAGGCCATTCCAAAGCCTCGCCTTCATGAACTGCCCATGTTAGCTCTCCAGGACTGTAAACGAGGACTGTAGATTTTATTTTTGGCTTTTACCGAAGTCAAAGCTATACTTGGAAACTGTAAGCTGAGATTTGGTCTGAGCATCTTCCTCTTTTCCCTCTTGTGCCCTGGCTGCTACCCTTTTCCTTTCTCAGGAATTTTATCCTGTTCCACTTGAGGCAGCTGCTTGGTACAGAGCAGGGCGCCCACCTTCTGCCACCTTCCACGCCTCTGGGTGGACACATGAGATGGACGGGGGGTTCGTACGTGTGCTGCAGAACCATTCCAAAGAAGCTGTTCTCTGTTCTACTTTAGGCCACCATACATTAGGTCGCCTGCTTATCCCAGCCAGTCTGGGGCTGGCGGACGCCCCATGTTTTCTTCCCAGCACCCCAACTATGGCAACTCTCAGGCTCCCCTGCTGCACCAGCCTGACCAGTACGGGTAGGTAGCCCCACCCTGGACTGCCGCGGGGCCTTGGCATCCCTTTGAGACTGTTCATGAGTGCACCCCTTGGCTGCTGGAGGAGCTCCCACACCAGAAAAGTGAAAGACCCCGAAGGAAACCCGTCCCAGAGGGGGGCGTCTGTTTGTTCATCTCTGTTTGTTTCGGGTTTTTTGTTTGCTTTGTCTGTCTGTTTCGTTTCTCACTCTTTTTAACCGTTCTGTGATGGTTCGGTGGAAACCTGCATGCAGTCCCCACAGGCCCTGTCTTTGCATGGCTTTGGCATGGCTTCTTCCCTCATGCCTGAGAGGGAAACACAACTCGGATCTCTGTAACATGACGAGGTCACCCACTCGGCATCATTGCCACCTTGTCGTCAGAGTTGTTCTGTGTGGAAACTTGTGTGTGCACCATCGTCGTCATCACTGTCGTGACCATCCCCGCCTCTGCCGTGAACAGCTCCAACGCTCACCCCTGAGCTCAGAGGCCACAGTCTGGTTTGACAAGAGACTGGCTGCAGTAGGGATGACACAGGTTATTAATAGGATTCACGAGGGGTTTCGTTATCTCACCACTGAGCAAGCGTCTTTTCCAAAGATTCTCATTATTCCCTTCTCTCAAGGAGTTCTAAAA